TTTGCCCGCTTTTCTTAACTCGAGCAATATTCCCAAGTGTTTGGATCAGTCCATCCAAACACGGAAACCATAAAGTAATTGTTTTATAAAATAACAACAACACGGTAGTCTTCCGTGTTTGGATGGCCTGATCCAAACACGGCTTTCGACCAATCGGAATACGCGTTATATACATGTTATTTTATAACATAATTTACCCAAGCCTATAGCCACCAGAGGTTCTCTTCGCCTCGCGTAAAATAAATACGAGCGGGAATAAGGCGAAAGATACGAGAACTTCTCACTTCTGGCAACCAGGGTCAAGCTGTTGCAACAAGAAATTTCAACTAGGGTATAATAGGGTATAGTAAATATTCCCTTAAGCTGCATGGAAAAATCCTTGCAAGTGAAAGCACTGAAGGCACTGCATTTACTGTGTCTGGTTTGTTCTGTTTTTCTGACTGTAGCGACTACCGATTTATCGGCAAACACTGCGATTAAATTTCGTACCTTTTAGTTTTATTTATTATAAAATTTATTATTTCCCTTTGCTACAAATTATCATGTTTAAAAATAGAGAAAACTGAATTTTATCGCGGTATTTGCGGATAAAAAATAACAACAAACTACAGTCAGAAGCGGAAGTGGGACACTTTTTGTATTTTCACTGTAAGGCCTGTTTACAGGTAAAACGTCGTGCTCCTCAAGCTGAAATGCCTTATTACTTATTGTTTCTAACGCGTTCGGCACATGAGAAGCACGACGTTTGAAACAGGCTTAAACAACACGGCACGAAATTTGTAAATGGACAAACAAACAAACAAACAAGCAAGCAAGCAAGCAAGCAAGCAAGCAAGCAAGCAAACAAGCAAGCAAGCAAGCAAGCAAGCAAACAAGCAAGCAAACAAGCAAGCAAACAAGCAAGCAAACAAGCAAGCAAACAAGCAAGCAAACAAGCAAACAAGACGCCTGCTTATATAGGCGTTCACTCCGCTTGCAGGCAACGAAATATACAAGAAATATACAAGGTCAAGGTTACAAAATGAGGGAGAGGGTTATTTCATTAAGAGCAAATAAAAGGCAAATACTGAGGAGGTTTCGCTCTCCTGTATTCTGTAAGAACTTACGAAAGTCCAAAGGCAAAGTTTTTGTTGACAGAGAACAACACATGCACTTCCGGCTTTTGTATTCACTATTTACATTTCGTCAGTATTACTGGTAAAAAAAACTACGAAGGTCCTTTAAAACAGTAGCGATTGATACACCGGGTGGAAAGCGTAATTTAAAAAATAAAAATTATAACCCAGCAAGTCAAGTCATTTGCATGCTAGACTTTAAATTTCATTTTTAAATTACGAAGGTCCTCGCTAAGTCGCATAAGTTGAACAATAAATATGCTTTTTTATAAACAAAACTTCAAAGGTACATGTTTTTAGGTGCGAAGTTTCATCTTATTGCTATATCTACATTCTGTAATCATATTGCACTTTGTCGCTATATTAATTTGACCTTAATGGCTTAAAATAGTGGGCCGGAATTGCAAATGACTCCTTAATAATTTATATTGTGACAAATTGTGATCTTTGTCCATCTTCAGTTACTATCAATGACAATGTATTGAACTAGGGTACCTGCAAGGTAGGGATTGCTGCGGGCATTAAGAGCAAATAGAATTAAATAGAGTCGTAGATATGAAATACGATAGGAAAAACTTGTGGAAAAAATGGCACCGGAAAAATTGGCCGGCTAGAAAAAATGGCACTTAAAAAATGACTGGGGCAGAAAAAATGGCACCAAAAAGCCTTGTGTGAGAAATAAATACTCCTGATTTCAACTTGTTTTTGAAATATGATTTGGAATGTCTATTTGTAACTTCGTAATATTGCTTCCGAAGCTTGAGATAATGTAATTGTCGCGAGTTTTCTTCGCGGGTTTAGGGACCGGTCATTATTTATGGTTGGGGGTGGCACCGAAGAGAAATGTTTTTTGTGGCAAAAATTTTGCTGACCCAACCATTAAAAACCCAAAAATTTGATTACCCAACCTCAAATATCGATTAAAAAATAAATACCCACCCCTGGCAAACGGATACCATTCAGTTGTCACACATGTCCTTTACCACTTCTGTGACATGAGTTTGATAACTGCTTGTGCAATTTTCTGCAGTCTAAAATTTCATGTTGTCTGCACATGTACTTTCTTTGGAGACACCATCTGTCTCTCAATATATCGGAATATTATCAAGATAGTGACTCCGATTGATTCACATATTATATTGACATCTGACTGTTGACAGTGCTTTTTGGTCTCCAATATTTCAGTGAGTCATGCTTTGGAAGTGACAATAAATTTTTATTACCCAACGCTTGAGTTGTTTTCTTTTTCATTTACCCAACCTTTTACTCGCTCAAAATTTTGTTTACCCAACCCTTTTCTCTTCGGTGCCACCCCCCGCCATAAATAATGACCGGTCCCTTATTAACAACGAAAGTAGCGGGTTTGTGATTTTTAAGTCATAATAGGTTTGGTAAAGCCACTGTATACACTAAAAAATAAAGTTTAATGCGGTCTTATTTTGAAGAGATCAGCCGAATAGCCGATGTTTCGTGCAAACATCCTCCCCCCCCCCCGGGAAAGAACGCTGATCTTTTCAAAAAACTTAATCAGTTGAATGCCAAATACAATCCTCTTTTCATTACCATTACCACCAATACCTATACAATCAAACCCTCATGATGGCAAGAATCCTCCCAACTGTTTGTTTTACTGGAATCCATCTAGACCCCAGAAAGATATAGGAAAATTAAAAAGTGGAGCCAGAATCGAATATGACATCAGTACATGAAATATCGCATGTGTATCACATCGTATGTATGGCCATAGGTTATAGAATGCATAGTTCCTAGTAGGTTATACAGTAACCAATAAACATCAGATGCTTGGCTTACTGGGCCAGTTTAACCACATAATAGTTCGCCAGACAATCTTCTCTTACATAACTAGAGCGACCATTTTTAAAATTACGTGTAGGTCGAGAAAAACTAGGATTGAAAACCCTACGGAAAACAGAGTTTTTGACAGTGGCGGCGCCAGGGGGGGGCAAGGGGGGGCAAATGCCCCCCCAAAATTATTTTTTGCCCCCCCATTTTGCCCCCCCTCAAAAAAAATTATTAGTCACTAAGAGCGACTAAAGGCTACACAAGTGTTCTGTCGTTATCGGAAAATGTATGGCTTATAAGTTGTCATTACTCATTTGTGAATGCGCGTATACATGAAACTGTTTTTTACAGTGTCAATATTAGTTTGTAAATCTCTGAATGGTAAAACTTGCCAATACTCCAATAATACGTTTCAAAAAAAGACAAAAAAGCTTTAGTTTTGCAGAGTTAAATTCTCAAACGCGTAAGGCAATAATAAGATGAAAGTATCACGAAATTATTTGAATAAACCACATCGCATATATGGGGGGCGAATGTCCTAAAGAGGGGCGATATTCCTAGGGTATTTGCCCCACCCCCCTGGGAGGCGATATTCCCAGGATATTCGCCCCCGGGGGCGATATTCCTAGGAATATCGCCACGTTTTGAGGGGGGGGGGGGCGAATTTCCTGGGGGGGGGGCGACCTTTTTAAAAATTCTATCTTGCCCCCCCAAAATTTGAGTTTGCCCCTCAAATGCCCCCCAAATTTGGAAGCCTGGCGCCGCCACTGGTTTTTGACCCTGATGATGGGACTGAAGTAGACGATGATGAATGTCTTCTTTCATATGCCAAGGGCAGCGTTTGGGAAAGACTGGAAAGTTCAATCATTAGAAGAGCAAGGTGAAAAAGCTGGCTCGTTGCAAAGTGTTGATGATTTGGAGTTAATTGTGCAATCTCGTACAGACAAATGTCGTGAAAGATTGGGGACGGATGCGGAGATCAGTGGAGACGAAAGTCGTGAAAGATTGGGGACGGATGCGGAGATTAGTGGAGACGAAAGTCGTGAAAGATTGGGGACGGATGCGGAGATTAGTGGAGACGAAAGTCGTGAAAGATTGGGGACGGATGCGGAGATTAGTGGAGACGAAAGTCGTGAAAGATTGGGGACGGATGCGGAGATTAGTGGAGACGAAAGTCGTGAAAGATGGGGGACGGATGCGGAGATTAGTGGAGACGAAAGTCGTGAAAGATTGGGGACGGATGCGGAGATTAGTGGAGACGAAAGTCGTGAAAGATTGGGGACGGATGCGGAGATTAGTGGAGACGAAAGTCGTGAAAGATTGGGGACGGATGCGGAGATTAGTGGAGACGAAAGTCGTGAAAGATTGGGGACGGATGCAGAGATTAGTGGAGACGAAAGTCGTGAAAGATTGGGGACGGATGCGGAGATTAGTGGAGACGAAAGTCGTGAAAGATTGGGGACGGATGCGGAGATTAGTGGAGACGAAAGTCGTGAAAGATTGGGGACGGATGCGGAGATTAGTGGAGACGAAAGTCGTGAAAGATTGGGGACGGATGCCGAGATTAGTGGAGACGAATGTCGTGAAAGATTGGGGACGGATGCCGAGATTAGTGGAGACGAATGTCGTGAAAGATTGGGGACGGATGCGGAGATTAGTGGAGACGAAAGTCGTGAAAGATTGGGGACGGTGTGGAGTCTGATGCAGAAGGAATTGGCGATGGTTTGGGTAAGAGAAGTGATCCGTGCGACGATCAGGACGACGAGGGCTTGTTTGCGATAATGGGTGAAGCTAATGCCGTTGTAAACAGGGAAAAGGATGAAATTGGAATAAAACGGCCGTTAATAGAAGATGAAAACGAAAAAGCACTAATTGGTGAGTGCAATACACTCTTTTATAAGATTATAAGAACAAATTTAATAAGAACACTTAGAACTGAATTTTCTCAAAATATTAGAACAAAATCGAACAAACTGAGGCTGAGAAAAAAATTACAATTTTTATAACTGTAATACATTATACAACTGTACACTGTTACTGTACGCTACTGTATTAAGAGGCAATTTTTTTCTATGTCACGTATTGGCAATGAAAAGTGTTCAAAACCTAAAATCTTTTTGGCGTTCCTCTCAAAATTACTTTGTTTTAGCTTTATTCTCTAGTTTATAGAGTTAGCTACCTTTTTAAATGCATTTGCCGGTTGAGAAACATAAAATAATAGTTACAAATTTTCAATTAAAATACAATTATCAATGATGCTTTAAAATTGACGCCATATTTATACAGCCATATAAACAAAACTTAGTGAACTTTAGACATCATTTTCTCTTTGGCGTATTATCTAAAATCTCTTCATTTTTGCATTATTTTACAGATAAAGCACTAAACATACTTTTTAAGTTTGTTTGCCGATTGAGAAACGTATCGAAAAATAAAAATTTTGAATTTAATCCTAACCTCAAGTGGTATATTATACGCTTAGTTTTGAGCGCGTGTTACGTAACATACAAAAAAATCTCCTCTTAACCAAAAAAATACAATATCCCAAATCTTTACCTTTACACTAAAACTATACTTAATCCTACGTGATGTCACTTAGATCACCAGAAATTCAGTGTTAATTAGACATAATGAAGAACATTTTGAGCCTGAAATCGGCAAAAAATAAGAACACTGCATGAGCCTCGGCATATTTTTACTGGTTCTTATATAAAAATAAGTGTATCGATAAAAGATTGTAGTCTTAATTTTGCGTCTAGTTGCGTGTTCTGATTTTTCATTCAATTGTAACTGCAGTACAAACATTGTTAATCACAGGATTCTATTTTCTTGCTAGATTTACCAGACAACAGCGAATCGTATGCTTCACCAAGCAAAAAACGAACTGTAACTTCTGTTTTAATGCAAGACAAGAATCGAATGGCAAAAATAAAAAATTTGAAGGTATACTCAAAAGCGGAAATTGATTCGGCGAAGTCAGAGACGGAAAAAAAGAGAAGAAGATTTTGGAACGAGAAGGCGGAACAAGTTGCAAGGGACAAGAAAACTGGCAATCTCGACAAAACGACAATGACGGGAATAATTGAAGTGTCGTGGACGTTGAGAAAAACATCATTCATCGAGGACTTTGCTCGGAAAACTCTTAATGATGAAAAGGTCCTTTTTCGGACTGACCATTGCAAAAAGTTATCACAAAAAAAGGACACAATTAAAAAAAATATCGACAGAATGGCTATAGCACACAGCATGGTGGAGCAGATCGACAACGAACTTGTTCAAATACGAGAACATTTCCAAAAAGCCAAAAGTGTGATGAAAAGAGAAGCCATACGTAAAAAATTGAAAAATAGGGAGACTACTTTTAACGGTGTATACACTGAGTTGAAAAAAGCTCAAGATGCTGCCACGAAGTCCATCAACCACAAACGGCAAATTTTGGATGAGTGTTTGGAGAAATCGGAAACAACCAATACTGATTTGTTGTCAAATTTCCAGCATGGTCATTTAACATAGAACTGATGTGAATTAAATGCATGTGTTACCTTAAATAAGTTGTTTTTAATATGTTACAAAGAAAGGTTCCATAATGTCGTATACCATTATAGTTTATATGTAAAAACTTGATATTATACATTTTACGTTTTACAGTAACAGTGATAGAGAGAACGGATATTCATCACTCGCGGATATGCAGTCTCGATCTCATGATTAACAGTTCTCATCCAATCATATTATGTCAGTACCTCATGGGGTGACACATAGTTTTACATTAAATTTTTTCACGTTTTCACTGCAATGTACGATCTTTCTCATTCAGATCACATATTCGTAAATGTTTTCACAACATTAATGTAAAATTAGTAACTTCCACAACTATATTCACGTTAGAATCGAATGCACTTCACTAATCTTAGATTATTGCTGCCGAGCGCAGCGAGGCCTTGCTTTTTCATGCCCAGTCCCCGGCCAAGTTATATTGAGAAAACATTTCAATAGTTTGGCGTCGTTCAGCTGCATGTCGGTTCATTTCCAACAGGTTAATTAAGCATTCAGTTTCGTTTGTAAAATGAGGGAGTTGGCCAACAAAATTACAATGGGATTTTAAGTCTGCGCGTCTTTAGCATTTGTTTCAATAATTCAGCTTGATTTATGCGAAGTCGACATATAAGTGGTTAGGAATTTGTTTAAAAGGGGTTACAATAATTGTGCGGACAAAGAAATCTTATATTTATCTGCCAATATTGCTATACATGATTCCAAGCGCCATTTGCGTATTTATATAAACTATAATATGACAAGCAATTATAATTCGACTGCAACTGCTATTGCTACAAGGTTCCTAGGTATATGAAAATATTTTTATCTTCACCATCCAATGTTTAGGTTCGCCTTTTGAATTCCATACATGTTTATAAAGTTCAGTGTTTGAAAGTCCTAACACAAGCAACTTAATAACCAGTGTTTTATTGTAAGTCTTTCCTGTTGCGCACAAATTTGGTGCGAGTTTTCTTTAATTTTATAATTATCTGAAATACAAGTAGTTAGTACAAATTCTAGAAAAAAAAACATTTGGGAGCTCAGAATGCAGAAAATGTGATTTCCAAGCTACGAAATGTTTTCCGGAGGTAGCCCCCCCGCTGACCACGATCAGCCTCCATAATGTTTGTGCCTACCCCACTTAAACCGTTGCACTCCTCCAGACTAGTCCCTAGTCCTCTGTGCACGCCTATTAATGAATATGCAGAAACGGGTAATAGGCGTACTAAGAGGCCTAGGGACTAGGCTGGCACTCCTCCACTCCAAAACCCCAAAAGGCTCTGACAGCAACAAAAATAGCCCCTCAAAAAATTTATTGTAAACACAAACACCTCTCGGAAAAACATCGATTCTACACACCCCTCGGAAAAAACATCGATTCTAAAACCCCTTGGAAAAACATATCGATTCTAACACCCCTCGGAAAATCTCGTCCATAGGGGTGTGTGCATGTATATTAAATGGAATGAGGCTGGCACTCCACCACTCCAAAACAAGGCCCTGACAGCAATAAAAATAGCCCCTCAAAAAAATCTGTTGTAAACACAAACACCCCTTGGAAAAACATATCGATTCTACATACCCCTCGGGAAAAAAATCGATTCTAACACCCCTCGGAAAATCTCGTCAATTCCAACAGCCCTCGGAAAATCTCGTCAATTCTAACAGCCCTCGGAAATTCTCGTCAATTCTAACAGCCCTCGGAAAATCTCGTACATAGGGGGGTGTACTTAGAATTTTCTCTTCAAAACTTAGAATTTACTCTTCGAAACATAGAATTTACTCTTCAAAACTTAGAATTTACTCTTCAAAATATCGAATTAACTCTTCAAATCTTGGAATTTACTCTTCAAATCTTGGAATTTACTCTTCAAATATTAGAATTTACTCTTCAAAACATAGAATTTACTCTTCAAAACTTAGAATTTACTCTTCAAAATATCGAATTTACTCTTCAAATCTTGGAATTTACTCTTCAAACTTAGAATTTTCTCTTCAAATATTAGAATTTACTCTTCGAAACATAGAATTTACTCTTCAAAACTTAGAATTTACTCTTCAAAATATCGAATTTACTCCTCAAATCTTGGAATTTACTCTTCAAAACTTAGAATTTACTCTTCAAAATATCGAATTTACTCTTCAAAACTTGGAATTTACTCTTCAAAATATCGAATTTACTCTTCAAATCTTGGAATTTACTCTTCAAACTTAAATTTTCTCTTCAAATATTAGAATTTACTCTTCGAAAAATAGAATTTACTCTTCAAAATTTAGAATTTACTCTTCAAAATATCGAATTTTATCTTCAAATCTTGGAATTTACTCTTCAAACTTAGAATTTTCTCTTCAAATATTAGAATTTACTCTTCGAAACATAGAATTTACTCTTCAAAACTTAGAGATTTACTCTTCAAAATATCGAATTTACTCTTCAAATCTTGGAATTTACTCTTCAAACTTAGCATTTTCTCTTCAAATATTAGAATTTACTATTCGAAACATAGAATTTACTCTTCAAAACTTAGAATTTACTCTTCAAAATATCGAATTTCCTCTTCAAATCTTGGAATTTACTCTTTCAAACTTAGAATTTTCTCTTCAAATATTAGAATTTACTCTTCGAAACATAGAATTTACTCTTCAAAACTTAGAATTTACTCTTCAAAATATCGAATTTACTCTTCAAATCTTGGAATTTACTCTTCAAACTTAGAATTTCTCTTCAAATATTAGAATTTACTCTTCGAAACATAGAATTTACTCTTCAAAACTTAGAATTTACTCTTCAAAATATCGAATTTACTCTTCAAATCTTGGAATTTACTCTTCAAACTTAGAATTTTCTCTTCATAACTTAGAATTTACTCTTCGAAACATAGAATTTACTCTTCAAAACTTAGAATTTACTCTTCAAAATATCGAATTTACTCTTCAAATCTTGGAATTTACTCTTCAAACTTAGAATTTTTTCTTCAAATATTAGAATTTATTCTTCGAAACATAGAATTTACTCTTCAAAACTTAGAATTTACTCTTCAAAATATCTAATTTACTTTTCAAATCTTGGAATTTACTCTTCAAACTTAGAATTTTCTCTTCAAAACTTAGAATTTACTCTTCAAAATATCGAATTTACTCTTCAAAACTTGGAATTTACTCTTCAAACTTAGAATTTTCTCTTCAAATATTAGAATTTACTCTTCGAAACATAGAATTGAGACTTCAAAACTTAGAATTTACTCTTCAAAATATCTAATTTACTCTTCAAATCTTGGAATTTACTCTTCAAACTTAGAATTTTCTCTTCAAAACTTAGAATTTACTCTTCAAAATATCGAATTTACTCTTCAAAACTTGGAATTTAGTCTTCAAAATATCGAATTTACTCTTCAAATCTTGGAATTTACTCTTCAAGCTTAGAATTTTCTCTTCAAATATTAGAATTTACTCTTCGAAACATAGAATTTACTCTTCAAAACTTAGAATTTACTCTTTAAAATATCGAATTTACTCTTCCAATCTTGGAATTTACTCTTCAAACTTAGAATTTCTCTTCAAATATTAGAATTTACTCTTCAAAATATCGAATTTACTCTTCAAAACTTGGAATTTACTCTTCAAAATATCGAATTTACTCTTCAAATCTTGGAATTTACTCTTCAAACTTAGAATTTACTCTTCCCAATATCGAATTTAGTCTTCAAATCTTGGAATTGACTCTTCAAACTTAGAATTTTCTCTTCAAAACTTAGAATTTACTCTTCAAAATATCGAATTTACTCTTCAAATCTTGGAATTTACTCTTCAAACTTAGAATTTTCCCTTCAAATATTAGAATTTACTCTGCGAAACATAGAATTTACTCTTCAAAACTTAGAATTTACTCTTCAAAATATCGAATTTACTCTTCAAATCTTGGAATTGACTCTTCAAACTTAGAATTATCTCATCAAATCTTAGAATTTACTCTTCTAAATATCGAATTTTCTCTTCAAATCTTGGAATTTACTCTTCAAACTTAGAATTTTCTCTTGAAAGCTTAGAATTTACTCTTCAAAATATCGAATTTACTCTTCAAAACTTAGAATTTTCTCTTCAAATATTAGAATTCACTCTTCGAAGCATAGAATTTACTCTTCAAAACTTAGAATTTACTCATCAAAATATCGAATTTACTCTTCAAATCTTGGAATTTACTCTTCAAACTTAGAATTTACTCTTCAAAATATCGAATTTACTCTTCAAATCTTGGAATTTACTCTTCAAACTTAGAATTTTCTCTTCAAAACTTAGAATTTACTCATCAAAATATCGAATTTACTCTTCAAAACGTAGAATTTACTCTTCAAAATATCGAATTTACTCTTCAAATCTTGGAATTTACTCTTCAAACTTAGAATTTTCTGTTCAAAACTTAGAATTCACTCTTCAAAATATCGAATTTACTTCAAATCTTGGAATTTACTCTTCAAACTTAGAATTTTCTCTTCAAATATTAGAATTTACTCTTCGAAACATAGAATTTACTCTTCAAAACTTAGAATTTACTCTTCAAAATATCGAATTTACTCTTCAAAAATTGGAATTTACTCTTCAAAATATCGAATTTATCCTTCAAATCTTGCAATTTACTCCTCAAACTTAGAATTTTCTCTTCAAATGATAGAATTTACTCTTCAAAATATCGTATTTACACTTCAAATCTTGGAATTTACTCTTCAAACTTAGAATTTTCTCTTCAAATATTAGAATTTATCTTCGAAACATAGAATTTACTCTTCAAAACTTAGAATTTACTCTTCAAAATATCGAATTTACTCTTCAAATCTTGGAATTTACTCTTCAAACATAGAATTTTCTCTTCAAATATTAGAATTTACCTTTCGAAACATAGAATTTACTCTTCAAAACTTAGAATTTACTCTTCAAAATATCGAATTTACTCTTCAAATCTTGAATTTACTCTTCAAACTTAGAATTTT